ATAATAATTTGGATAAATGACCGACATTTTAAAAGAGAGACTACCATCACCTCAGAATCTTGGGCGCGCCGCCTGTAAGCTCTGAGGGAGAGGGTAGCCCCATAATTTGGCCTATTTCAAAACAAATGACAAGACAAAGATGACCTACAATAATAATTTGGATAATGACCGACATTTCAAAAGAGAGACTACCATCACCTCAGAATATTGGGCTTGGCCTGTAAGCTCTGAGGGAGAGGGTAGCCCCATAATTTGGCCTATTTCAAAAACAAATGACAGTACAAAAACAACCTACAAAAATAATTTGTATTATGACCGACATTTTAAAAGAAAGACTACCTTCACCTCTGAATCTTGGGCGCGCCGCCTGTAAGCTCTGAGGGAGAGGGTAGCCCTATAATTTGGCCTATGACACTACAAAAATCACCTACAAAACTTGTTTGGATTATGACCGACATTTCAAAAGAGAGACTACCTTCACCTCAGAATCTTGGGCGCGCCGCCTGTAAGTTCTGAGGGAGAGGGTAGCCCTATAATGTGGCCTATCAATTAAGTAAAAAGCAAGTAACAATACAAAGGTAACCTGAAATAATAATTTTTGGATTATGATTGACATTTCAAGGAGGCTAAAATGACTGATATAGAAACCATACTGTATCTGTGACGTTGATTATACAGATCGCCCAAGCGAACACGAAGATGTTGAAGTGGAAGCTAGAATATCTGGAGTAATCCAGCGTCTTGGGCTCCTTCCAGCGAATAAGATTTTGGCGGGATTTCGACAGTGCTTGGCGGGCTTTTTGGAGAGTGATTTGTCACTGGAGGCACATCGACGCTTACATCGTCTTAAGCCAGAGAAAAAAGACTTGAATCCTTCGCCGTTTGATCAAAAAGGTCGTCCATTGAATCAGATAATCGGTCTTGCTGTTCCTCAAGGGGATGTGAAGTAGAGCTCGAGCTCTCGCCTTGGTTTTCTCCGGCGACTATAAAATGTGCATTGTTGACGGCTTTTCTCAAATTTTCAAATAGAGAAGATTTAAAAATTTCTTTGGTCAGGGTCTTTTCCACGCCGAGTTCCTTCCAAACCGGAGAAAGATGTGCCAGCAGAGAGTGTATTCCTACTTGTGGCTCCACAGTAAAAACTTGATACGCCGACTCGCTGTTTTCGCTGCGAAGGTCACCAATGTTGACAAGGCATACTCCCGGGGGGTACTTTAGGAATTTCTGGGTGGGGATGTGCTGCTGGGACCCTGGAACCCTTAACCTATACAAGAGCTAGTTCAGCTGAATTTTGCTACCCTATACTAGAGTAAACTCCCCAAATCCCCCTATCCTAGAGTAGCTGTTTACCTAGTCTAGATAAAATCTTCAACCAAATGATCAGTTTCCTGAAAAATGATACCCTATTCTAGACATTCTAGACCCAAACGCTCTGATTTATATACCCTATCCTAGAGTAAACTGCTTGAAAACCATACCCTTCACAGCGGCACATACCTATATAGCCCATATATGGCAGTACCCCCCCCGGGGGCATACTACTCTTGGCAGAAGTTAAATAAGCCATCGGAGCACTATTTTCTTAAAAGAAAGCACTTGAAAAACCATTAAAAGCGTATCAAGCCTATTTGAATCCAAATGCGGCGAGAAAATTGTAGTTATCAATTGCGAAGCCAGAGGCGCGAAGATCGACTTCCAAATTTTCAATCGACCGTGAAATGAATTTATAATACCCAAATAGTCTGATCAAATTTCGCGTTTCCTTGACATGTCTGGTTCGTTTAATCAGAAGTACAAAGTTCCTTGACAGGCAATGTGTCCGGTGCTCTCCAAAGGTGTCTGGAGGAATGCTTAAAACTAATTACCTTGTCTGTTATTGGAAACCGATTTGCGGTGGTTGCTGTGGAGATTAGGCCTCCTCCTGCGCGCACTAAAATCGGGGCTCTGGCCTGTTATGTCTTCATTCATTGTCATTAATAGATCCTAGACTAAGAAACGAAAAAACAACAACAACAAAAAGACAATTCTATGACTTTTATATTAATTAACCCAGAAAAAAAACTTTTCTAATTTTCTTACGGTAGCATTCCAGCCATTGCAACTGGGTTTTTAAATGTTTTACCTTCTGGTCAGTTCAAAAACATTGTCCCCGGCTTTGTTCTGACAAGAACAAGTCAAAAAAAATCAAGTCTCAATATAACGACAAGCCAAAGTAAGCAACAAATAAATTGTTTGTTTCGTTCAACAGGGTGAAAAGACAGTCAGGTTTACAGCTTGCCAGTCGGGCAAGCTGTACCTAGCATGTACTAGCCTAAAAGTCATTTCAACAAAATCGAAAAAATATTCTTGATGATCAGGGTTGATTACAGTTCTTCTGTAATTATTTATTTAAATTTCCCAAAACATTTTCTGTCGAGAAAAGTTGAATTCACCAACCTGGGCCCAGATTTATCCTTTCTTTTGTTCAAAAGCTTTTTCTCTGATAATTTTTTCTGTTATTTTTAAGAGCATCCAATCATCAAGTTGTTGACGAAAAATTTAAATTTGATATTGTTCGCAATATCAGTTCATACCCCAATCATTCAGATACGTTACATTTGGAGACGAGCAAACTGTACATCTAACACTTTCCCTTAAAAAAGGCAAATGTATGGTCTTCAAACCGCGCCAAGTCCAAGACGTACGAATTGTAAAATTCGAAGAAATATTGGTAATCAACATAATGATTGTTCGAGTATAAAGGAGACAAATATTTTGTGGGGTAATTTCGGATGAAAATTGTGGAATTCCCACAGTAGTATTCCCCATAGTATTAGGTAAATTTCGCTTCAAAGAAGACTGACGTCAAAAAGAGAGGATAAAAAGATTCACCTCGATCGCATCTTCTTCTGCTTCCATCTTTGACAAGTTTCATTCGGAACCAGTCTTTTTCTGCGCCTCCGAATCACCCAGACTTCACCGCGGCTTCATTTTCATTTTCCGCGCGCTAAGGCCATGTGATCAAGATTGTCCAATCAGCGTATGGAAATCAGTCTACTAAACACGCGTCGCCTTTATTTTATCACTTTTGCAGTTACAGAGACTGGCTCTGATATATAAACCTCTGAGAAAAATGACTTATTACGAGAACAAACCTGTTATCGTCTTGACTATGATATAGCAGACTGAAATTACTCCACAAGAGGCAAAACCCAGCATTTAGGTCGGCTCCGTCGCTACTTTCAATTCTAGTACTGCAGGGTGTGTTCCTTGGTTTTATACCTTCTGGTATAAATGCTAATTTATTCAGCTCAATCGAGAAACACTTTTCTCAGAGCTGAAAAAGAAAAAGGAAGTGTTACTTCGTGATTGTTCCAAGAAATATGTAAAACCCCACCTTGCAAACTGTTGTTTTCGGCTTGTAGGAATTTGCTGCACTGTTTTGTACAAAGTAATTCATCCTCTACAATTTGGATTTGGTAGGTCATTGCATGATGTGCACCCAGAATTTTCCAAGCGCATTATCATCCATAGTTTTCATGGCTTTACCAAGAGAACAGTTTGCTGTCTAAATTGCGGTGGCGGCCGATGCTAGTTTTGTGACGGCTGCTGCATCGTTCATCAAACACGCAGCACTCTTACGGATGGCAAAAGTACAAATGATACTTCTGTTTTAGAAATTTTCTTTTCCTTTTTCCTGTATGACATAGCGAGGGCAAAACAAGACTCACTTTATTGGGTTTGAATAAAAACGCCTCTTGATGATGAATCGTATAATCTTCACACTTGGGGAAATTGCCAACATGAGGTGAGCGAAGAGTGGCCGGCATCATCATTTGTTTGCTCTACAACATGTTATTGGTGTAACATAACAATAACAACAGCAAGTTCAGCTGCAAGTTTATAATCAGTATTGCCATTTCTATACCTGGGGTTAGTTATCGCCAGATTGAAATACAATAATAAATAGATAAATTCAAGGAAATACAGATATAATTGATTGGTATAATTAATTGTTATTATGTTTCTTGTGTCTTTCAAATGCTTTAAAAAAAAAACTTAATAAGCAGTTAGAGCCTGTTGGGAGTGGGGGACCTCAGGTAGGTGAGGTAGCCCGCTTAGGTGGGGTAACCCGAGGAAAAAAAAGACCTAATAGAAAATTAAAATTGATAATGTGACAACGAGGATCAGAAATTAAGTTAATTTTCACCTTTAACGATACAAATTGGGATATCATCATAACCAGCTGCAGTTCCGGGCCGAAGAGAACTGCAAATATTGATTATTTCTTGGCTAGATGCAGGATCAAGAAACAAGGAATTTAACAAATGATACAGTTTGTATCATTTAGTTTGTATCATCTTTTAATGCCAGTTTATTCGTTAGTACACCCTAAAATATATTAACAAGGGAATTCAATCTTCTGTCACGTTTGTCGGTTTAGCATTTGCTGGGGAAATGCTCCGTTGACTCCTCTGCTATGATGGGTTGAGTTTGCAATCAAGGCGCGTAACGTGTTCGCGGTTGAGTAAATATGGGTTCATGCTTTGTTTTGTAACAAATCCTGCATTTCGTAATCGGGAGAATTTTGTGTTGTGTTTTGCAAATATCGTGTTGTGTCTGAATATTATTGTGTTGTGTTTCAATAATACTGTGTTGTGTTTCGATAAACCTTTGTTGTGTTTGGTTAATACCGTGTTGTGTTTGGAAAAATGTTTGTTGTGTTCCAGGAATGTATTGTTGTGTTTCAAGAAGTGTTTGTTGTGTTTGAAGATAAGGGCCACCGTAATACTCGAGTACATCACTTTAACTAGACTGAACTACATTTCTTTTAATACTAAGAACTATGCCGGATTTAATTAAACGAAAAATTCTAGTTGCGTGCAAGATTTGGTCACAGGGTTTCGAAAATCATCCGCTCATCCAGCCAAATCCAATGATTATAACCAAATATTATATTGTTGATTTGAAAGAAATATTTTAATGGCCTGCTTGAGGTCATTGAATGTGAAGTGGAACAGGTTAAAACGCTGTCGACTGTTCAGAACTACTACACCTCAGGGCTGCCGATGCGCAAGTTTTCCTTGCCGTACAGCTGGAGGGATAACTCGTAATATTAATTCAACATTGCCATCAGTACGGATGTTGGACAGTTACTTTTAAAGTAAGGAAGTTTTACGCATTTCCTTTTGTCTCAGCCTTTATAATTTGTGCCGCAAATTGTGAACCGCTGCTGACGACTGCTTCACTCGCTCGCCGAACGCAGTTAAGTTTTTTAATTGTCTAAGTGAGAAAAGATATAGTGAATGCAGATGAGAAGCAAACTGTTTTGAAGTGAGACAAAAATCTTAGAACATAAATTCAGACATGTTATTCAAATAAGGTGTTTCTGTTTTCGCACTGCTTTAATGAAAAGGCTTTGGGGCATTTGGGCATAATCATGGAATATACGAACGATTTGTCCGTCGCAGTTTCACGGACACCGCGCTACCTCCTAACTTACAACTAGTACTCATTTCCGATTGAACGAATCTTCAAATTCAGCCGCACTTAGCACGCTGGGCTTAAAAATGTCGCTCTTAGAAATAGGCGCTTTCCATCGGGCTATATTGGCTTAAGTTTGCTGGCATGTGCTGAAAGAAAGTGTGAGACTGTTTTTATAAGAATAACCTTTCAAAACACAAATCTAACCCGTACTTACTACGTAGCCGTGATTGGCACATTCTCAGTGAAAGAAATTGGCATTAATTTTCATAAAAGACACCTTGTGCCTCGTGGTGTAATAGTCATACAGAGTCATACGGTTAGTCACACCAAGAAAGTAAAAATCTATGCAAATTTATGCAGACACAGCTAGCGACTCCACTCAGGCATCTCATGTGCTTGAGGTGCAAAGGAAAGGAAAAACAAATGCATTGAGGGAGAAGACATTATAAAGAAAAAAAAAAGACTAGCGAATTACAAGAAAAAACAATTCCTTCAAAAAGTGGGAATAATTTTTAAAAAAAAAGGTCTTTAAAATCTTCCTTGTTTTTTTCCCCTTGTTTTACAAGTAGAGAAAGAGAGGAGAAGGCCTGATTTCAAGCACCTGAGAGGAGTTGGACCTAAAAGTTGTGCTCCCTCTCTTTGAACACATACCAGCAGCAATGGGCGATCAGCAGCATCAAAAAGTTGGAGAGAAAAGACGTAATGATCATGAAGTCGAGAATGGTGGCGCATCCAAGGAACCCAGGGTGGATTCGACAGATGCCCAAATACTTATGGTAGGTGTAGAGCAACGAAATCATTATCGTGAGGTATGGAAGTTGTTTTTTTTTGAAAAAATTATTGTGCAGTGTTATTTATAGAGTGCAGTGGTAACAAACTACATGCATTTGCATTGTAGAATGAGCGTCTGGTTTTGAAAGGCTTAGTTCTACAGGCACAAAAAAGATCTGCCCTTAAACTGAGGCTATAAAAATCATCTCTTGCGGCTGATGGCAAGTATTAACATCAATCAATATAATCAATCAATAATTTTTTTTACCCACGTTATCGTCTAAGAGCACAAGTGCTCGTTCAAAATACGAACGTGCATTAAATCTACAAAAAATAATAAAATAATAAAATAAAAAACAATAATAATGATAATAAATATATATATATAATCTATAATGTATGTACACATGAAAATAAAAAATTATAAAAATTAAAAATATAAAAATTACAGCTGAGTTGACATTAGCTTAACATGAATTGAAACTTGCGAAAATTTGGCCAATTGTTTCAAGCTTTACGGCTATGCCCAGCAAAAGGTTCACGCATGGTTAGTGCTCCCTGATAAAATTTGTTTGATATCTTCTTCAGGAGCATATTGTGTATAACAGGCTAAAGGCACTGAGTAACAACTTTAGCACAGAATTGGTTTAAAACTATCATCTTGGAACAGTGCCTTTAAGAGTTGCATCAGGAGCCGTCCCATCGAAATAGCCAAATATGCTAGTTTTAGAACAAACTGCGCCACCTTCAACGTCACAAACTCGTCATGTTTCGTTTCAGCAGGTCAAAGCCACTGATTCTTATGCTATCGAGTCGATTGAAGGTTCAAACGGAGCGGGCTCGTTACTGAAAGTTGAAGACTATGGAAATTCCCGGAAACTCAATGTGTACTTTAATGGATCAGATTTCAGTGATCCAACAACAGGTATTGCTTCAAGTGATTTGGCAATTGATTTGGTGTCATATTATCAACTCATACACATATACATATACAGTAAGTAATGGATCAGAGTTTGACTTCTTGAAAACTGAAGACGATGAAAATCCTAGGAGACTAAACGTGAAGCTAGAGAAATCAGACTGCAAGGATCCGGAAACAGGTATTCCCAGTCAGGCGATTTTGTGATTGACTTCGAATCATGACCTGACCGCACAGTTGTATACAAAATGGGGTCTGGCGGGGAAGGCGGATCATGATCCCACACTCCCCCTTCTTTTTAACGACAATCCCGCATCGCGAACTTCAGTCATCTCTATCCCGAATACTGTTTTCTTTCCCAAAGAATGCATTCTTTGCCAAGATTTGGGCGAATCCCGCTTCCAGAGATGAGCAGTCAAATCCAGTATCTCGTCAAGGAATTTTGCTTGTTCTCTGTATTTTGGTCAGTGAAATCCGGCTAGGTCCCGACAATACCCTTCCAGACCATGATAACACTTTTTAATGGGCTGTAAGCCACAACTGTAAAGTACAGTCAAAGAGAATCGATACAAGCTTTCAACGCAAAGATTTTAAACGGAAAATACAGGCAGTTATTGGGCTATGGTTAACTTTGGATCCATATATTTCACCGATCATTTTAAAAACGAGGTCTCTCGTTTGTATATCCAAATGATCCAAGAAATCGTTGGGTTGGTAGCTTGTACCAATTCTCTGCATTCCAGCGATTTAATGGAGTGATGAATAGACCTCATTAGTTTCTTATCTTTCTTTCTCTCATTGTAGAACGCGTGCTGTTGCAGTAGAGAATAGTACATGTCTTGTTATGAACGCATAAGTTTGAATCGACATTAGATTGCCCTATAGTTAGACATCAATGGAGCCGAATTAAAATTATAGAAATATATCTTATCTACCAGAAAATTTGTTTGAAATTGTTTGATCCGTTGTATGTGTTTTCAGTATTTCAGATCCTAGAAAGCGTAGAAAAGATGGCGAATTTCGTGAAGTACAGCAGAAATGATGGGAATTTTTACCTGGCAGCGGAAAAGGATATGGAAGTACAACTACGTGTAAGCAAACGAATTTAAGAGATCCAAAAATGCATCACAAAATACAGAACTGTGGCCCTCCTGCTGTTTCCTAGTGGAAACTAAACTTGTTAGCCCAACTTACTGCTAGGCTGCAAGGAAATGGAAATGGGTACCGAAAAGGGTCTAATGCTGCCCACAGACTACGATCGAGTAAATGAACTGAGATCAATATCCGTACAAAGCATGATCTCAGTATCCTATTTGTATGGATTCTGTTTGGTAGACTGACCAAGGTTTCAGTTTAACTCACGACATCAAGCTCTGCGTAACGCTAGTTTGCGTAGCAAGCGTTTTGTTGGGACGAGAGCAAAAAAAGAGGAATGTGAAGGAAGGAGGTTATCGTTTCCTTTCCCCCTCCCTCCTTCTTTCTTTTCTTTGCTTTCGCTCCATTTTTCGCGCAATAACTCGACGCTTGCATGCTATTACGTAGTCTAGCAAACCGCCTGCCCTACAAAGCTCTCCACCCGTTAAATTTGTTAACACCATTTTTAATTTATCAGTAACAGCGTTTTTTTGTTAAGGTAATTTTAAGCCTCAAAGATTAAACTGAAAAGGTGATTGCTGTTGTTTGTTTAACAGAAATTAGAAAACCCTCCCGAAGGCGACGAATACTTCTTTTTCATCAAAAAGGTTAATGACGAATGTGGACCTGACTCCCCCGTTATCTTCCAGTCAAAGAAAACAGGCGATTATGTTCACTGCAGCAGTGATACCGGCAGGGTGTTCATGAAGAAGGCCGTAGGAAATGAATCTCTTTCAGACCGGGAAACATGGTTCAAGTTAGTAGATAGACTTGAGCCGCAGGACAAACTAACCAGCGATGTGGATTCAGTGGATGGCAGTGAAGTCCAAAAAGAAGCCACTATGAACGAACTGAATCATGAGGACAAGATAAACAGCCACTCTTCTTTAGAAAGCGCTTCAGATACTGAAAAGAAAAACGGAGACGGAGACCCGAGAGAGGAAGCCCTCGAAGAAGTGGCAAATGACGGGAAAGACGTAATACTAAATTTGCGGGATTCAACGAAGAAAACCTCCGATGAACAGAAAGTGGTAAAGCCCGAGGAACAGGGGAATGGAAATTTAAGAGAAAACGATTCTTGCTAAATATTCAAGAAGCTATAAAATTAAATTAGCGCAGTTTTTTCAGCCCGTTTCTTTCGTATTTTAAAGGATACTGAAGAATGATAAAAATATATACATACACATAGACACGTATGACGACTCTGATAAGCGTAGTAGTTTGGCTGCTTTGACAAATAAAGCGGATATTGAACTAATGTTGCAAATAGAAATTAAAATATGCATTTGTAAATGGGGTTAGTTCTTGTATTTTTCAGACAAGTGGAAAATTTCTGAAGTATTACCTTTTTATAAGGAGGATATAATGGATCAGTATACGTTTCTGAGAAACTGCCCACCTACCCCTCCCCTAAGCCAACATTTTGCTTCAAGTGAGAAGTAGAGGAGAGGTAAGTGGCCAGTTTCCCAGAAAGGTATAATTGTTAAAACAATTATTGAATGAGGCTTAGTGTCATCTGAAGAGTTGTGGATCGAGGAGGAGTCTTATCGGCCCTGTCGGATGAAACCCTCCGACCTAAACAGCAGTTGCCGTCGTCTATAAAAAGGTATCTGTAGGTCTAGGGGCTTTAAAACGTATTCGTTCCTGGTGCCCCGCCGCCAAACCCTACTAATAATGTATGAGGCTTTAGTCACTCCTTATTTTGATTATTGCTCCGAGGTTTGGGGATGTATGGGAAAAGGCCTGGGTGACAGACTCCAGAGATTGCAAAACAGGGCCGGGAGAATTATAAGATCTTCTGAATTACAAGATCTTCTGCTATTTTCCAGGACTTAGGATGAGATACCCTTGAGCAGAAACGCTCTAAGAAGCTCGCGATTAGTGTTTTTAAATCGTCAAAATTGAAAATTGAAAAATGTATATTTAGTGGATGACCACCAGCTTTTTGTAACAGTAAATTCGATCCAGGGTGCAGAGCAACCCCTAATGATGATCTATCAATAAGTGTTGACATTGATGGAGAAGATATCACATCTGCTCCCGCACTTAAACTATTAGGGGTTACCATCGATGATAAGCTTGAATATAACCGACATATCTTTGCTATCTGTAAGAAGGCTAGCCGAAATTTGTAAGCGTTATTGTTCGTCATGTGCGCATGATCTCCACCGAAGCTAAGCTTCAACTGTTTAAATTGGCAACATAACCTGTGACCTGTGGCATTCATTTTTGCAAAGCATCGGACACGGGAAAACTAGAATGGGTTCAAGAGAGGGCGTTACGCGAGTTTTCAACGACAGAAATGCTGAATATGGAGAGTTATTGGAGAAGTGGCGTCTGACTAGCCTAGTAAATAGGCATCTTCAAGACATTTTGATATTTATGTATTAAGTTCAAGTTTCCTTAGCACCAAGTCCATTTGTGAAATACATGTATTTTATAAGCAAGTTAAACACAACAATCTAAGATGCGGTGAATTTCCAAATCCTAACTTAAGGACGGTCTGGGAAACACAGTCGTTTCAGATATCCAGGCCCCTAATTGTAGGGAAAAATAAGTCAGAGTATTCATAGAAAAAAGAGTCCTCAAGCCCTCAAGAAAGCCATAAGGGGAATTAAGATTGTGAACCTTTTTGACAGATCTTTGAAATGCAATGCTTGGGCTACATAATAGATTTTCCTTAGTTAAAAAAATTTATATGCATGAGATTAAATTATTCATTTATTTCAATTTTTATATTCTACTCTACATAACCATCCATTTATCCATGTATTTGTAGATAGGACTTTTTCTTTTTTGTCCCCAGTTAGCTTCTTAGCTAAATCTTCTGACACTTTTTAAGATAAAGTACAAGTATGTACGTATGTTACGATTTAATGTACGTTAACTTACTTGCTTGTTTTAGTTACTTAGCTTCAGCGAAGTTTTTAAGAAGATGAAAATTTACCTACATATCAGAAACACCCAACACGTATCATATAGTTTTTTTTTTTTCTCAACCTGAACTTTTACATCTAAGCGGTAACAGTGTTGATAGACAGATTGTGGATTAAACCCCGGCTAGGGTGTGACCATTAATTGCTGTTCATATTTTGATACACAGTGACTAATATCTACAACGTTAAAAACACTTACGTGATGACTGGCGGCGATGTTTCTGAAAGTTTGAGTGCATGCATACTGGAGTGGTCAAACGTTTGAGCAACAGTTTGACATTTTTGTGTTTATGGGTCTAAGTAAATATTTTTAAGTCTCAAAAACTTTGGACATTTTTAGAACAATGAAAAATTCATGTCTTTTTGTCTTTGGCGAGAGACCTTATAAGCTCTTTACTTTAAAATGTGACACGTTAAAGCGGTTCAGTTATATGTACAGAATCAGACACTGCATTTGGTATTTGATTTAGTGCTTGTAACAGTTTTCTACTTCCTCTATTAGGCAGGAAACTAACTGCGTGGGTTACGTTTCACAAGCATGAATTACGAACCTTTATCATTATAAGTAATATTGGAATCAGTCGTTTAAAGCTGTAATAGAGGCCAAACCTATGTCCAGCAACTTCCTGCTCACAGGGTATGATTTGGGAAAACAACTGTTTGCTATATATCAGAGCTATGTGACTTGCATGACCTCTTTTCATCACTCAAAGCGATCTTGACTTAACAATGGTGAACTTGGAAAACATTTTACACCATTTCTCCATAGCTTTCAGCATCAAAAGCTTTTCTTGCTTTCTTAAGTTCTTCATTCATTGTCAACAGATCCTAGAATAAAAAACACAAAAACAACAACAACAAAAAAGACAATTTTATGACTTTTAACACCAGAAAAAAACTTTTCTAATTTTCTTATGGTAGCATTCCAGCCATTGGATGTTTAATTTAGACCAGTTTTTCAGAAGGCTATATTAATATTACATGTAACTGGGTTTTTAAATGTTATCTTCTGGTCAGTTCAAAAACATTGTCCCCGGCTTTGTTCTGACAAGAACAAGGCCAAAAAATGTCTCAATATAACAACAAGACAAAGTAAGCAACATTCCCCCAAATAAAATGTTTGTTTCGTTCAACAGGGTGAAAAGACAGTCAGGTTTACAGGTTGCCAGTCGGGAAGGTTGTACTTAGCATGTACTAGCCTAAAAGTCATTCCAACAAAATCTAAAAAATATTCTTGATGAGCAGGATTGATCACAGTTTTGGTTGTATGAAATGTGAGTGACTAAAAAACAAATAAATAAATAATAAATAACACTCCTTGCCACGGGCCGTATGCTATATGCGTAAATGCTTTGTGGGCATCCAATTGTAAACATAGGGGACCATTTCATAATAAATTTTAATAATTAAAATCCTTATGCTTAAGAATTTTGTTTCTCTTTGTTGTAAAGCCTCGGGGACGTATTACCATTATTATCCCGCTATTGGCTCATTAAACTTCTTTTATTTCTTACCAAATCTTGCAAACCGCAGCATATGGTATCATATAGATTGTATAACCAGGGCCCCTGTACATCATAGTGTAGCGAAGTTAATTCGTTTCTAAATTATAAAACCCCGTGAAAAAAGCACTCACAGGCTTGACTTTAAATTTCAAAAAGGGAAGACGCTTTCATTTTTGCTGTTTTGTTTATAATTTGATTTTTTTTACTTTAATCTTTTATAGATATCCGCAAGAGACTATAAAGGGGACAGAGAGGGCATCCCCCATCTACACCCTATTCCATAGGTAATTCGTCTCGAGTTATTTTTAGAATCGGGATAAAGTTACCTCGCGCGAGGCGTGGATGTTTCGTGGAGGTTTCGCATGACCAAACGCCGTGCAAAACATGTCGGGCGAGAGGCAATGAAAGCGTAAAAAGATCGAGAGCATTCCTGAATATTGAAGCGAAATGAGTCGGCGCTCACCTGGGAAAAAGGAATCGCTGGACTCTTTGACAACCCGTGAAATCAGTTTAACTCGAAGTTGTCGTAACCTCAGTGCTTTAATAAAATGAGAAATTTCGCCGGTCTATTGAAACCGGTCGTTTGTACAATTCAACGACGCGGATGACACCTAGAACGTCAAAAAAACAATAGGTTTAATTAGCAAAACAACAACTTCGCACGTGCAACACACTTTTTTGCTCATTTCTTTCCCGTTTTTGCACGACTACGACGTGAAAATGCCTAATTTCGCGTTTTATGGAGGACGTAAATAAGCAACGACGAAATTTTATTTCTCTTTCTGAGCTTGAATATGGTCCCTTGAAATTCAGCTTTAGGAGGGTTCGCTTACAATTGACAAAGTAAGTGGGTAGGAATAATCGCTATAAAGACTGAAAAAAATAAACATCAAACCAGAAATTGCTCTCTTCAAACTGTAAATTATAAATGATCCTGAGAGGATATTCAGTGTGTTAAGGATTTCCCTGCTCTACTGTTAGCTCTATACAAGAGAGGAAGGGCGATTCTTTTTTAATTTCGGTTTCGCTGACACAGCTTTCGCAGAAATCTCGCTGTAGTCGTTTTCGTCGACAAAAGGAATAGCAAAATCGCTCTCCGCGTCTTCCCCCATTTTGTTCTGCGTCATTTCGTGAAGGACGCGTGGCTCTCAGCGTGATTGGCTGTTGTCTAATCCCCCTTGAGATCTGTGGTGTTAAAAAATAACTCGAGACGAATTACCTATGGAATAGGGTGTATATGGGGGATGCCCTCTCTAGTCTCTTGATATCCGTTAAGAAAAAAGAGGAACAGGAAGACCGCTAACTAAAAAGTATTTGGGTCACGTGGTTCTGTTGAAAGTTGTCAATCCAAAACACGTGGTTCCTTTCTCTGCTGTTGTTCTCATTATCGTTGAAAATTAGAAACACAGTGAGTTGAGACAGTTTGTCTTCGTGAAGCTCTGTTAGCGATCAGGTGAGACCGATTTTTTGGCTGCTCGCCCATTTGAACGCAGTTGAATTTTGAACCAATCGAGTGAGGAGAGCCAAGTAAGTGAAAAGTATTACGATGCAGCCAATGGTCAAATATTGCGACGGATAGTCAGTACAATGTATATTTTTGACGTAGGCAAGCCATCTCAGTCATCGTAGGTGAAGGATCGATCAATCTTTGTTAGGAAAGCATTCAGGCTATAATTTGAAAGGCCTTTACGCTACCAACTCTACTAATTGATACCAACTTTATATCATCGAAGGCGAAGGTCAGATTAATTGTTGTTAGGAAAGTATGCCATGATTTGAAAGGCCTTTAACGCTACTAAATTAAAAGTCTACTAAATGCCAACAACAGAAACGCTGACTCATTTGCAGTCTCACGAATCTTCGAATTATTTAAGCAATTGGGCAAAGCAAAAGAAATCGCCATTCTAACTAACACGTGTGTTTTATTGTGATATTACCGGCTGGTGCTTCCTGAAGCGTGTTGTTAGTCTGGGGGTTTTTCACAGAGGAAGTCATAATAAAAGATGCACTTTCACGTGAATTTTAAATCATTTTCTAGTTTTTATCTTTATGGCTCTTTTCCTTTGTGACAATTTCTTGGTTTACCTTTTTGCGAACAACAGTCCAAATTCACTTGCCAAGGTGAACGAGGCCAATATTTCGGTCGTACCACCACTGAGTAACAAATAACATATGCAAATTTATATTATTCAGCTTAAGTTAGACCCCCCCTCAAGTAAAAGACCATTAAAATTAAAATTCTGTTGACGAAAGAGAACCAAAGGTAACTTGTATGAGGAAAAGTATTACAAATAGTCGGAAAAATGCATGATGTCGAGCTAATCTTGAGCAGTTTACAAAAACAACTCGAGATGTTAACTTTTTAACTTAAACTTTATATTTTTGTTTTTGCATTGGAGCGTGAGCTGAAAAGGAGCCGGATCGAGAAGAGAGCTAGCGCTTCAAGATTTAGAAGATTTCCCCTTTTTTTCCCAATAGCTCTGAAGTCCCCGAAGAGTGTTCGCTTTCAAGCACACAAGCCGCAGCCATGACCGATCAGCTTCCTCAAAAAGCTGGAGAGAAGAGACCTAATAACCATGAACATTATGAAGAGGAGAATGGTGGCACACCAAAGAAACAAAAAGTGGATTTGGAAGACGGTCCAAGGAGAATGGTAACCATACAGTATGAATACTGTTTAGTATGGTCAAAAAAGCAGCAAAATCCAGTGAACAAACTATTTTGGGTCGTGAATTGTGTGCTTTTCAACTCTTAGCCATCAGCCAAGCTCGGGGCCTTCTTCTCCCTCCACCGTCACCCAAAAAGTTCACCTCAACGCAACTGTGCGAGCTGAATGCCTTTTTAAAGAACATGGATGCCTTGCTTTTTTCCCGGTGTCAGTCAGCTAGTCGCCTCTTACCGTACTTCCGCACGGACACCCCAATGCAAGTTTTTGAAAGGATTTTGCGGAATGTTTTGCACACTACTTGCCCTATCAATTATCGGCAATTAAAATTGTTGTCGTTTTGAATGTTTCGTCGAATGTGGTTTAGCCACGTCTTGGTTGTTACTGCAAAACTTAACCATGTGCAAGGCTGCTCTTTTTCTAGCATGAACTAATTCAACTCCAGATGACTTAATCTGAAATGCTTTAATGAATAACCTAGCATGTGCTCGCTTTAAAGTTTTGAAAGCATAATGACTTATATAAATCCTGCGTCCTTCATATCTCATTATATTACTATTATGAGGATGATTGTGATTATGATTGCGGATTATTCTATATAAAGTTTAAAACTTTATTGCTGACGTTTGCTCGATCAATGATCTTCCTCAATTACATAAAACAGTGACTCTCCATGCACAAACGTGTTTGGACAAAATTGCATTTGTGTCATTTTTTCACACACGCAAAGTAACAGTCTCGCGGGTATGAGCCAACACTTGTCCAGTCCCTCCCCCCACCTCTAACCCCTCATGCAACTGATTTTGAATACTCCTGTCATTTCTGCTGAGTTGGAAGGGGGCGCATCGATGTATTTAGTTAGAAGGTAGCAATATATATGTTTTAAATTTAAGAGTGAAACAAGGATAACCTATGATATTACATCATTGGGTCAAGAACTCATGTCCACCATTGTGGTCATCGGCTGGAGCACAACTAAGAGCTCATCCCTACATTATGGGTCTGTATTTCATTTCAGATCAAGGAACCGGAGCCTTTTGCGATTGAGTCGACCATTCCAGATGGATGTCTTTTGACGGCTAAATACAAAAGAGATTCCATTAAACTAGAGGTGGCCTTCAACAGCTTAGACTTCGATGACCCCTCAACAGGTATGACTTTTCTAAGTGATTTCTTGATTGCTTTGGTTTTTCTTTGATATTCACTTTGTGACAGGCAAAAAAATCTCGTGTCGCGTCACTTTCCCGTGCGAATGAGCTTCTAGCACCCGTGGGGTGACAAGGATGTTACTAAAACGGGGAGCGGGGAACAAGCACGGGCAACTGGAAAATGAAAAATGGGACCAAACCCAGTATTAGAAATGTATTTACTGATGAGGCTATGGTTCAAGTGAAATTTTGTTCCCTTTTTTCATTTTCCCGTTCCCCGTGCTTGTTCCCCGCTCCCCGACGAGACAGTGACAAAACGCTCAAACGGCTATCACGTCATGACTGAAATAACTTACCTTGTAGCCTTCACCAATCCAGCCAGGTCGACTAAAAACACCAGAATTTTGCAGATAACTTTCAAATTTATGTTATGATCTTAAACGTAAAGTAACATAGACAAGCAATTACTGTCTCTAAATTGCAACCATGATAATTTGAGGTTTCGGAGACTTTACTGACGACACCATCATCTAGGTAAGTTCAGGCGAAAGTTATGTACTTGACAAAAAAAGCTTACAGAATGTTCAAGTATCAGTGTTGGAGCTTAATAAACAGTAGATTTTCAACATTTAACAGTTAATGAATAATTCTCACTATGATATGAAGAATTATGTAGACAGGATTGCAGAAGGCGTTCCCTATAGTTTCCTATGAACTACGTGCGGTTTATTTTTACTCTTGTCCATGCAATATGATCACGAAAAACGACCTCGTTACCTCAGTTGAAGGAGCTTATTTCCTATACTTAGTTAAGGCCTAGTCCAAACGTCGAACGTTTCATGACAGAGACGAACCAAACTCTAATTTGGCTCGACCTGAATTAAGTTAAGATCGTCTCAGTTGGGTCAGACGTCAGCCTTAGGACGCGTCGCCGGACCAATCAACTGAATCAGACCAAAAAGCAATTTTGATAAATTTTCTACCGAACGAGGCTAATTATACATTATCGTACAAAATTTTCGTATGTATTAATTTAGTTCGTCGCATGTGAAGATCGACATTTGTCGCGGAGACGATCTTCAGACGTTTTATCCGTCTGAAGAGGAGACGGATAGAACGTGTTGGACGAACCAAACTCATTCAGGCGAACTTAACTGTGCCAGACGTGGAACTTTTCATGAACTCAACTCTCTAAGTTTGGTTCCTCTCATGAAAAGTTTAACGCTAGGCCTAGACCTAAGACTTAAGATCTTAATTAAAGACATATTTCAGCTCCGCTTTCGGTGAACTTTGGGGTCTCATACATGCGTGTTTCCTTCGAATTCTAATTACTGTAACCGCTCGGATTTGTGTGCATTTGTAGGGGGTTTCCAGATGAAAGTTCTGATAAAAGTTATGTTTGCACGACATTCATCTGATAACTGCCTCCAGGTTCATTTTATCAGGGCAGAAACAGTGCCTAACGCTATGTCCATTATATTCCCTGTTTATCACCGTCTTACGATGGCTTATGTCCTGCGGTTCGATCGATAGGTATAATTTCAAACTTGTTTAAAATTTTAACGTAAATTTGTAATGCACGAGTTTTTGCATTGAATTGTTTGATCCGTTGTGTTTTCAGTATTTCACATCGCTAAAGACGACAAAAGAGAGGCAAACTTCCTGAGTTACAGCAAAAATGACGAGAAATTTTACCTTGCTGTGAAAAAAGATAGCGAAGTACAACTGCGTGTAAGTAAATGAATTTAAATAAAGTTGCAATTTTAGAATACATCAGATCTTGTACATCGCATCACCTGGTCAGCCTTAGGTGTTACCAAGGACACGTGATCTCAAAGTGAGTGATTGAAGTGAGTCTTGGGTAGCCTGCGTAGCAGGCGTCGAGAGCGATGGGGAGGAAGGGAAAAAGGGAGAGGGATTGGGGAGATAGGCTTGCGCGCTTTTCTCCCTCCCCCCTCCCCTTCCCCTTTTTGCGTCTGCCATGCAGGCTAGTCTTAGGGTGCCCCGTTCAATGTAGGTTCTTATATATTGCCACTGGACACAGGCGCTGGGCTTCACGGATCCCTTACTTCATGTTGTCCTGCTGTGCACGTGTCTGCTGATTTATGAAATCGCAGTCGGGATCGAAATACTTAGAGATTAGCTTTCCTGGTGTTGTGATCATGAAATTACTTAACACCTTTTTCACGCAGTGGATGATCATTTTTCTTTCTTCTTTTTCTTTTACGACAGAAATTACTCCACCCTCCCGAAACTGATAAGTATTTTTTCTACATAAAAAAGATCAATCGTAAAAGTGATTCCCCGGTTACTTTCAAGTCATATAAATCAGGCGAGTATCTTCACTGCAAAAGCGATAACAGAAGGGTGGTCATGGAAAAAGCAAGAGGCAATAAACAGCCGAGAGACCGTGAAACATGGTTCAAGCTATTACCAAGGAGGCAGCAGCCACAAGAACAATTAATCCAGATCCAACAAGACCAGCTGGATGGTATGGAGAACACGTGTGAAGGCTTTTTAATATTGGAGAATGACGATTCTGAGGATGAGGATCCCGAGCCGTCTGTCAACAACGAGGATCCAAACGAGGGAACTGACTTCGAAAAACACGCCGATGATGGGTAATGTGCGCGCAGCAGGGCCTAGGGAGGGTAATTTCGAAGGTTCAAGAGAAGAATGAGAAAAAGGGGGCACTGGGCTGCTGATGAACCGGGGAATATAAAACTTAGTCGGAGTACGCGGAGAAAAACGACTTCTGACAGCTGATGGTTTCTCATTCTCGCGAGCCCCTGGGGAGATGATATCCGACGGAGAAGGAAAGAGAGAGCGTGGAAGATCCGGTAGAGTGGCATCTTTTACTAGCCGGAGGAGACTCCGAGAAACAGGTCAGGGGGCATTTTCTCCAAACCCGGGGGAAAAGAGGAGGAGGAAACTTCGAAGAATCCCGAGTGGGATATATTATCCTTAACTTCAGGTACAAGAAAAAGGGTATTAAAATATTTTTTCTTATTTCCTGTTTGTGAAATTGACTTATAAAAACAATTCTGTACCCCGATCTTAGTATAAATCCTTGTCTCATTGTTAGCCGTTAGGCCGCCTGGAATGCAGGGTTTATCTCTAAAAGAAAAAGTTCTCAACATTGCGAAGGCTGAAATGGGCAGACAAACACCCAACTAAAAACATCCCCGCCATGATTGGGCTTTAAGTACCACGGACTGGTTTTAGGAGAATAATATATATTAATGATGTGGAAGTCAAAGGATGGTTTAGGAAGAAAAGAAGAATCCGAAAAAGAATTATAGCAACTGCGGATGGTATTGCTCTTAACAGAGCAATAAACTAGAAGGACGCTGTACTATTCGGCTCTTTATTATTATTCTTTGAATTATTAACTTCAAAATAAGAACATAATTGAAATATTTACGATACGGAGATGCGTTGAGGGTGCTTACGGCTGTTATGATTACACTTGCTAATATTACCTTCCTTAAACAACAGCCTGACAGCAGCCTTGATGGTCGCGGATAAAGGATCGAACCGCCTTGGAAATCCTAGACGCGCGCGATTTGTTTGTCAAACTTCCCTTTTCGGTCAGGAGATTAATGCGTGACAGCATTTTGTGGACCGTGTCGCATTTCTTTCAGAGTATATCGTGAATTAGTTCGGCTTTGATTTAAGATTTTACGCGTTACTTTATCCAGCTTCATCCAACTATCATTATCATCTCATAGTCAGTAGGCAATCCACATCTCGTTTGGCATCAGAAAGAAACGACTAGGTGCTAAATTACTATAGACTGAATGTGTGTGCTGGAAAAACCAAATATTACCCCCAAGAAACTGAAACAGTGTCGAGGGTTTTAGCCATTTCTCGTGCATACTGGTTGACAAGCACGTGGCGAAAAAATTAATTTAAAAGGCCAGGGGTTTATTCTCTAAAATTACCGAAGGAGACATAAATACATGGGGTGACTGAACATAAGTGGTTCTTGTATGTTGTTATCTAGTAGGTGTAGAAAAAAATGCGCGCCATGGGAAGCCATCTTCAAAAGTTTCAGAAAAAGTCAAATAATGTACGAAGCTCTGGCCGTAAGACACACAGTAACGCAGAAGGAACAAGGAAAACATTTTTTAAGACGGTAAATATTTACTAAAATAAGCGAACAGTCGAGGTACTGGATATAAATGACGTAAGGAAATTCAAATCAACAAGTCGATGAGTGCAAGCCCGCCAGTTTTGTTTTGCTTCAAACTTCGAGGCTAGATATTGCGACTGCCATCATACACCTTCCAAGAAGTTTGTTTTCTTAAGAGAACAAGAAATTTTTTTCTGTATACAAAAAAGAAGATAAAACTGTTCTCCTCTACCTGTTTTATGTAAAACAAATTGTCACTGAAAAAGAACTTGATGGGTATTAGAGGAGATGATTTTAATTGTCTCAATGTTGCACGTTCATGAAAATGGACATTTTGAACAAGATTTTGAGGGGTGATAATGCAGAAGGTATGTTTTCCTATTATTTTCAATGGGAGTAAACATGACTGCTGAATAAATGAGTAAGTATGAAAATAATGATGATGTGGTGGCCGGAGCATACAAGGAGAATGAGTGTCTGAGCTGCACGGTTTTGCTGGTTCTTTTCTGAAAAGAAGGCTGACTTGACTCAATTTAAGTTTCACTTGATTGTTCCCGTTAACCTTAAAAGAAATGTGGGGTGCAAAATGTCCTTCTTCTAATGTTGACATTGTAGCTTTTTTGGGCTAGTACGTCAATCAATGAGCATCGCCTTGCCGCTGTAACAAGCCGTACGCAAATCCTTTCATTACAAATCAATATCGTACTTGTTTGTCTCTCCAATTGCACAGAAATCTAGCCTGAGTTTAAACCTTTCGATTTAAGGATTTCAACATCCTCTAATCTTTTCACAATTGTAATTTCTGTTTCCTTGACCACTTTTACCATATAAAACAGGGGCTTCAATACTCAAACATTTACCTCATTCTATAACCACCATCGTGTATTTCCATTTTTCAGAAATTATTCTTTTTGACGCAGTAGTGCAAAGTTTCAAAGTTTCGAAATTCAAAATTTTATTCTCAGCAGCTTTATTCCACCACAACAAAACTTTGTTCATTCTCATTATTTTTTAAAGTTTTAAGTTGTCTTCCGCTTTTTCCCAATGAAATGACTTGACATTTTCACTCACGAGTGTTAGTCATCCATAAAATTGTTTTAGAGGTAAGTTAACAATCAATGCATTTCAGCCACACGCGAGTAATGAACGTCACAAGATAATTCATCTTTGAAACAACACACAATTTTTATTATATAACATTTACTGAAGTTACGTTTATTTTGGATCAGTTCCTGTTGAATTACTAGGTTTTAAGAAGCACGCGCTAAAGCATATTTTAAAAATAACCCGATGCTCCATCAAAGGAATTTGTATCACGTTTAATTTTTTAATGTGTAAATTATTCCAAGTTGGAAGTCTAGGAAACCTCTTTGGTTTTAACCACTCAGCCAGAATAGACTGGAAAAAGAACTATTACAAATTCTTTTAGTAGTTTTTGAAAAGTAGTTGTAATGAAACATTAATTTCATTGTGCCTGTCGTAGTTGCTATGGACAGGATATATTCAGCGAATTATGATAACCGAATCTTATGTACAGGGTGACATGGACGTTGTTTATTCCAGTTAGAACTGAGAAAACAAGTAAAACAACCCCTTCTTCCAAGGAAAATAAGTGTAACAAAAGGCAGAGAGTATAATCCACGAGTCATCTTACACTGAGCTCATTCGTGATAACACATGACTATGATGCAACAAAAATCAATTGTCATACGTAGCTCACCTGATCTGATTAGACAGCAGCTAATTCAGAAATCTTCATTAAGAGATAACTAAAACAAATAACTAAAAAAGGAAATCATCTCGGAAAGTAATGGTCAAACTACGCATTTTTTCAAAAAAGCTAGGTACCAGGTAATGCGCGTGCAACGCACCAGAAAAAATCCGACAAAAACCAAATTAAACTTTCTATTATATAATTTAAAAACGGAACTGCTTGATACATGTGACCGTGCTTAAGGAGGTTTTTCATTAAGTGGTGCAGTTTCCCTTTTCGTTTTCGATACTTATCTATGTTATTTTAGTTGTAATTACTCATTGTTGTTTTTCTTAGTTTTGTTTTTATAGTTAAGAGACGCGCTTAAGAAGTCTTACAACAACGATATTCCTTATTGAAGAGTTCTAAACAGGTGCGGCCGCAGCAATGACAGCAGCGAAAACGTCACTTAATTAAAAAGGGAATTTGCCATGTTTGAAACTTCATCATTATTTCTTGTTTATCGTCTAATTTGCCGAATGTTGGCAAATTATTCTGATATTAATTTTTAAAGAAGTCGTGCAATGCTGATTAGGAAAGGGAACAGAAAAACGTAATGTCTTGTGTTCATCCATAACAAGTGAAATTAGTTCACGTCGTGGTGGTGCGATGATGTCAACGACGAAAAAGCGAGAAAAGTTGTTGTTTTGCTTCCTATTGATTTTTTTCACGTTTTGCGTTCTCGCTGCCGTCGCCGTCCCCGTTCCCGATTGACAGGTTTAAGGGGCCACATCTTTCGCATAGATTATACTATTTGTGAAGGTAAATAAAAATAGTACGTACCGTTGTACCGGAATTAATGGAAATTACGGTTAACACAGCGGGGCAATATTAAGAGCAGTGTCGCTTTGATCCTCTATTCTCTATTTCATTCTATACAAAGGGCGAAAACAACAAGAAAGGAAAAGAAAAGAAAAAGAGTGGAAAGGTCCAAAAATCCACGACAGTTTCGGGGAAACGATATGTTTGGAACTCTATACCGTTATAAGAATACGCTGATGTTCAATAATAAAGTAAAATGCCTGTCGTCAGCTGTCAAATTGGAGCATCCGCTGACCGGCGTCTCATGATGGCATCCTGAGCTCTGGCTAGGAGCGATATTCAACGAGGTCACGTATTCCCACGAGATCTTTTGCGAAATTTTTCTCTTTAGATCAAGCTATTGAGGTAAAACGAGTCCTTATCGTTTGTCTATGTTATGTAACATTGATCCTGGGCAACGTATGACAACAAATAGTTTCAAAATGTGCTTAACGAATGCATCTCACACCGTCATGACGTGGTGGGCCTGAGATGTACATGAATATAACCATCATTATATAAAGCAGATAAAGCGATTAGATGGCTATAATTCCCAAAGGCGCTCAAGTGCAGTCAATAGAGTTCTAAAGTGATGACGTTGTTATAAAATCAAATTTGTGCAATTATGGGAGTTTTCGGGGTATTCTGAAAGAACAACATCTAAAAGGCCTACGTACTTGCAAAAAACTAGGCAGCATTTCTCCAACTCCATACAAATCCTACTAAATTTAACTCGGCTCATGACAAGACGTCACACTTTAGGACTTAATTAAAAGAACAATTCAGAGCGTAAATTTATGATATAACACCAATGAAATACCACGCGAGCTTTCGAGGGAAAAAATGACATCCCCTCGACACGTGAAAAGGAGACATGTTATTTTTACACGTGAAAAGATCACTGTTGCTATGGTTGCATAATAAATCGCACCCTTTGTTGGAGAGGGGAAGGACTGAAATTTTTGGGCAAGGATACGATTTTGGGGTATAAAGTGAGTAGTTACCGGGTAGTTTGCAAGCTACAGACATGCCAATTAAGTGTTCTCTTGATGTTTATTATTATATCGTTATCATCATCATCATCATCATCATCATTATCATTATCATTATTTTAGTGACGCTTTTAACTTGCTGGAAATAAATCTTTGATTTTGTTTGATCATTATCAGCAGCTGGGCAAAGTAGGCTAAAAAAATTAATAACTAAAAATACATGACTATGTAATGATCTTGTTCATATCTCGTGACCTTTCAGCTATTCTGTGTTTTCACTCACGTGGCCAGCATCTATGCAAATTTATTGGAACAAAGGAAACCGTTTACATAAGAAAAGAGTTCAACTCCCACAGGATTGGTTTGGGACACAAATATGGCCGCCATGACGTCATGTGAAAACACACAATACATTGTTCAGGATTCCACTTCAATTTACCACTCTACTATTCAATCTAGCATTAGTCGCTTATATTATTTTCTCAAAATTTTATTGTTCCCTCATTAAAGTTAGTATGGTAATATTCATTAATTCCAACAACAACAACAGCATCTTTCAAGGGCTTTCTAGCTGGGCCCTGTGTTTCTGGTGGCAACTGCCTGCATAAGTGTCCTAATGCTGCCTAACGCCGCGGCTGCTGTGTGGTTGAGGTGGGAAGTTATTAGCTGAATAAAAATAACCTCTGTTCTGCATGGTAAAACTAATAATATGAAAGCTCAGTTTCCCACTGAGCTACCGTTCTCACCCGTTGCGTAACAAAAAACTTGGAAATTAAAAGACACTTTAGTTCGAAACTAAGGCAACTGATCTAATACATGATGAAATAAAATAACATCAGGGACGTATAAATGATCGACTCAGTTTAACCAACGCAAGGTGTCTGACAAGAATACCCCCGTAAATAGAATAGCTTAAGAGTTCAAAAACTATATTTAAAAAATTTCATTTTCTGAAAGAAGTTCTTGTTCGCCTTAGACTCTAAGTCATAAGTGGCCAACTTTTTTTGCAAACTAAAAAATTTGTTTTTCTCCTCAGCTTTTTCTAACTGAAACATTGGGTCCTTACTGAGAAAAAGTACAATAATTAGAGCAGAGGTCAGCATGCGCAAGTCCGGCTGTCTTTTCGAATTAAAAACCAAGGATTAAAGAACTGCGATGAAAGTCCTGTGACTTTTCATTTTCTTTTAGAAGCTCAAAGCTCGTGACGTTTCGGATTCTCTCGGAATCCCCAACTTACATTTTTATTATTTATACTTTCTGGTAATAATAGAATAAATACAACCATCGTAGATCACAGGTGTTGGATTTATTCTGCCTTCAACCAAAGCGACCAAGCCAAGCTTAACGTTTGACGTTCGAGTTAAGAAAAACCTTTGGGAATGTCGTCACCAGTAATAGAAATATTCAAAGAAACAAAAAAGGTATGGTGTCTACTATCGATAACCAACTGATCTTGCGGCTCCTATAGTGCGTACGTTACAACGCTAGGCGCTACGCTACGCTTGGGTGTTTGCCGTTTGTCAGTGAAGGCGTGTCTTGTAGTAGCATGTGTAGCTGGAGCAAATACGAGGGAGAGGAAATTCAGGAAATAGGAAAATAGGCATCTGAGGAATCTATGATTTCTGTCCCTCGTTGAGATGCGTTTGTTTTCTCGACAGACGGAGCTCACCTGGATGAATGAGAGGACGCCGGAACCAAGATTTACCATAGTGTCGAAAGTTCGAGAGCGTTCTGGAACAGCATATTTAGAAGCAACGAAGCGAGAAGGCGAGGAGATTCCTGTGGACTTTGTTGGAAACGAATACAACGATACAACAGGTTTAAGTTTATTACAGTTATTAATTTAAATAAACAAAACATAAATAGCAATTTGCTATCACCGTAGTCGAATAAAATAAGAATGTACAGATTTGGGAGAATAAGGGACTACATAGGTCGGCTCACGGCTGAGTTCACATAGCCTGTTTTACTTGGCAAACGCGAACAATCGTACTGAACGTATAACTTATATTACTTACTACAATATAACAACAACATGGCGTACGGCATGGAGATCGAGTTCATGAGAAGAGAGGACGTAACTGATACTTAAGTCACTGCAGGGAGAAGATCACAAACACTCACTATTCCACACCTTAACTTAAGACATATGTTAGGTGACCAGGCAAAATCCACCAAATATACATTCTGGGAACATTTCTTGAAGCAAAAGATATTAAACAATGGAAATGTTAGCCTGCATGGCAGAAGTTTCAAGAGGGTCTCAATGGGGTTAACCGATAGGCGTAAAACGGCCCAAAATTTAGTCGATAGCCGTAAAAATTGAAAAATTTTAACCGTTAGCCGTAAATAGGGTAAAAAGAGTTAACAGTAAAATAAATTTTGCTCCTTAAATTTGATAATTTGAGGAAGGTGCTAAACTCACCGTAGAACGGTTGTGTTTCTTATTTCGCGGCTACTTTGGCTCTTTACGTTCCCGTTTCTACTAGTTTTGCTTTTCACGCAGATTCTGTTCAAATAAACTGTTATGTCTTTTATAAGGAATGGTCCTTTTCATGGCTCACAAAAAATTCCAGTTGACTGGCAATAGCTTAACCTTTTGTTTCTATTTTAAACAAAGAGTTCTGCAGCTTAAGAGAATAAGAAAACTGCGGCAAAGATCTTCAAAGCCGCGTACTTCTCAGCTTGGCTCCGACACTTGTAAATGTGAGAGTCACAGAAATGTTCGAGTCTCAATCTGTATGCTTGTTCCTTTTTAGTTCATGTTGTACAATCTGTTCTTCAATGGGGTAAAGATCCTATCGTGGTAGTAAAAAGAGGAGAGGGTAGCAGATACAAAGCGACGCCGAAGAACGAATCAGTAGCCCCTGAAGAAAAGGAAATCACGCAAAGATGCAAAAGATGACAAACGTTTTCATAGTTGACATTTCTATGCGTAAAATGATATTAGAAGTGGAATACTCTAAAAGCGTGATCTATGAAATATTAAAAATTTTCAGAAGAATAACTTATTTCATCCAGAGATGACCCTAAGACATTCATGTTGCTTTAAAGATACAAAAAAATACAGGTTTATTATTTACTCTTTGTAACAAAGAAATTAATTTTTAATTTTATAATTAACCGTAACTGAAAAAAATTAACCGATAGCCGTAAAAGAGCCAAAATTTTAGCCGATAACCGTAAATGCTACCACCCCATTGAGACCCTCTTTCAAAGGGAAAGGGAAACTGAGTGGGAAATTAGGGGGTAAGAGAATGGCCCGGGGAAAGGGCGCGCGAGGTTGGACGTTACCATCGGGTTCTCGCCTGCCCAATTTACGAGCACTTGCCACTGTGGCATTTAGTAGCCAAGTTTGGGAGATTTAAGGAAGGAAGGAAACTAAGATAACGTCAGTCGTAACAACTAGTCTGAGTTTCAATTATGAGCCTAAGTAAAACAAAAAAATTCCTAGCCTGTTCCACTGAGGCGTTCAGATAGTAGAGCACGGTGTTTAGATCGCTTGGAACAGGCTTAAAACTGATCAGTCTCGTCAGACAATAGCATATAGTTATCTATAATTGACGTCACATTTAACACATCTGGATCCCGTAAGGTAGTGCGTGCCATTTTTGACAAGTAAACCTCTCGTGTTACAGTCAACTGTAATCAGCTTATTACAGACACCCAAATCCAGTGTTGCATAGATGCCGGAAAAGGACGACGACAAGATCAGGAGGAGGTGCCCTTCGTTCCTCGTATTGATCAAGTGTCTAAAACTTTTCAATGCACATTGTCCATAGACAGAACTTACTGGAAGATGAAAGATCTGCAAGCAGATTATTGCATTTGCTTTTGGCTCATCCAAGTCTTTATCTTAAATCTGGCACACACTGAGTAGAAATCTGCACAAAATACAATTGGCATCGTGGCAACTTGAGCACTAGTTTAGCTACCGGTAGATATTCCGCCTCAAAATCATCATATTTACAAGCCAAAAATTCAGCGTCATTTTCACCTACTGGTACTACTTGAATAAAAACGATCAATCCCATACTTTAAAATTTATTGATAAAAGTCACAAAAGCTTTTCCTTAGGAATCTGTTTTCGATGTAAAATCGTAAACAGCGCGAGAATCGGAATATCCATCTTAACTCACCTCTTTTATGAGAGACTAACAGCTGGATCTGGCCACTTCCTCATACAGTACTAGTAAGAGTATCAATATAATATCTAAAAGATTCTCTCTGTTACCTGCTGCATAATCAGGAACTTGATCAAAAGTCCGTTTTGTATTTCAGAGTTTTTTGTCGGACAGGATGATAAAGGACACAACACCTTCTCATGCTATATAGAGGGTCAAGAATACTTCCTGTGTGCAGATAGTAACGATAATGTGTGTCTGATGGTAAGTAAGCGATTTGAGCTAAATGGCAAGTCAAATGAAAGAATTTCATACTGATCTTATTCGGACGTAGTGCATCCCGATATCAAATCTCTGCAACATTTGTCATGAAACTGTTCGACAAAGTTCAATCTGACAAGACTTCGACCCAGCTCAAGACCTTGAAGGTCCAAGAATAATAACAATAATGTTAATGATAATAACAATAATAATTATAATAATAAATAATAATAGGGGGCATGTCCTCTGCAAATTTGGTCGTGGGGGACGTATATTTAAAAAAAACGATCGCTGAAAATATAAAATATAACTTTAAAAAAGCTTCTTTGAAAAGAAGTATTTTAATTTTTTTCTTGAAAACATTAAGGGATTGGATTGATCCTGTGGCATTAGGTGATGCTTTCCAAAGTCTGGGGGCACAGTAGCCTCTCACGCAGGCGTTTTTAAGGGAGCTCGTCATTCATCTCTCCCCACAAACGCCTGCTCAACCGAAGACAACATTCCTTTCCCAAGCCTAGCCAATCACATTGTACTTTCCAAATTCTGGAAACTAAGTTGACCTTGACCGCAGGGTAACTGATAATTACTCGATATGCATGAAACACTGGGAAAGCTTTCTGACCTCTAATAAATGTTAGTTTCAGAGCGGCAAAAGTAAGATTTACTCAAATTTTAGAGTACTCAATGTACTGTATAACCTTAGCGAAGGCCGGTGAAAGAAAAGAAGGAAAAAGGTAACTCTAGGGTCACGTTTTAGTCGTGTTTAGCCTGTCAACACTTTACTTCACAACTGTTGATTGGTAACTTACCACGCAACTAAAACAATGGGAAAGGAATGTTGTTTTCGGTTGAGCAGGCGGGAAGAATTGAAAAACGAACTCCCCTAAAAACGCCTGCGTGGGAGGCTGGGGGCACAGCAACTTGAAAAGATCGGTCTCCGTCAGGAGCCCATAACTCGTCTCCGTAAGACTTCATATTAGACTTTGGTTAATGAAGTCGGATTACCAGCGTGAACAACTACGGCAGGTAGTGCAGTTACGGACGACTGCAAGGAGACGAATAGTTACTAGAGTGGGAAAACTAATCCATGTTTTTCACTTTTACTAGCATTTATGTCTTATACTTTCCCCCTTAGATTTCGCCCATCACAAAAACTCAAAAATGCAGCTACAAGATCGTGACCATTGCGAGTGCAGCGGGCAACGAATTTATTCGCAGAAAATTGGGAAACCACAATATATCCTTGTGCTAATGGTCAGATACGACAACAACAAAAATCTTTTTTTTCTTTTGCCCATAGAGTTCCATTGGCAGAAACCCTTTAAATGATGTCAGGTTCCTGTTTAATGTTGAAAGAATCTATGATGGTAGTAAATATTGTAGGATTAAG